ATGAACTTCCAGATAAAGTTGTTGACCTTGGCACCCGAAGCGACCCCAGACCCGCGAGGACGACACGGATAGGGTTAGGGAGGCTCGTGTAGACCCTGTGAACAAGGCGGCCACGGCCTGCCTGGCTGCGCTCAGCTTGTCCTTGATTGTCATCTTGGCGCGGGCAGGGAACCCGGGCGACGCCCTCAGGCGGCTCGTTGTCATCGGCACTACGAATGCGGGGGAAGGAGAGCATGGGATCGTCGCTTTGGTTTCCGTTCAGAGGCGCGGCTGCCACAGGCTTACCAGCCTTCTTCGCGATGAAAGGTTGGCTCTCGTCATCCGTGTCGGAATCGACCAAGGAGATCTGGGACTGGTGGGCAACGGGGTGCGACCGCCGGGCTCGTATTGCGACAGATCGCTGCTCGAGGGCGAGCGAGAGTTGGCAGCCGTGTCGCCTTCAAAGCCAGGCAGAAGCGCGTCCGCCTCGCGTGCATCTTGCTCGTCCGTGTAGCGACCCTCCTCGACCCGCTCATTCTGATATTCGGGATACTTGTCCTTGGGCGCCAGGAGGACGTGATAACCCCAGCTCCATCGAACCAACTGTCCGAGCTGCTGGAAGATGAGGAGGTAGAGGATGCCGCGAGCGCCCACCTCATCGTCGTTATCGCCGGGTATCCTGTCCCAGTGGAGACCCTTTAGCGTCTGCGACAGCGACAGAACGAGAGAAATCGGCAGAGAGTTGGAGTTGCCAAAGACGCCCATGGCGGTGACGAAGTTGGACGCTCGTTTGTTGAAACCGAATGCTCGCGAAACACCGGTGGCGACGACGTAGGAAACGAGTGTCTGGACGATAAAGATGACGGGTATGACTGCAAGTTCAACCAGCTTGTCGGCGTTCAGATGTGATGCCAGATTAGTGAAGAGTACGTCCTTGAGTCCGCATTCTATTTTTATTTTCCAACGCCATAGTCAAGCTCGGACTGGGACGGCATACTCAGGCAAGGTGTGAAGAGCATAACATAGAGGTTGGCGAGGAACTTTTGTTTGTCGGCATCGAAATGCCCCAATCGTGCGACGATGTAGCCAGGCAAGTTGACGCACACGACCTCGAGAACAGCCTTGAAGACGAGGAGGACCAGGTGGCCGAGAGAAGGGTGGGAGTCGTGGGGTTGCGGTGCTGCGAGCTGTCGGAGCGGCATCTCGTAGGCGGTCCCTGGGCCCATTCTGGACGAGGCGCCAGGACGTCGGCGTGCCCATGTATTGTTGGCCATTACAGATCGAAAGAAGTTTTTGGTCTTCAGTTTCGTAAATGGGTTTCTAGTCTGGGCTAGGATGAGGAACGTGCCCTTGTTGAGCAATCGATGTTTGTGATCAGGCAGTTCGCACGTCAGAGATAGAAATTAGGCGAAGATGGGATGGGGGGGGGGGGGGGCGTGGCGCCGAGAAAAGTAATCGAACCCCTGCAAACCAAGACAGTGGGTTGGTGTGGAGGTGTGATGATGTGCTCAGTCGCTGGAGTGGCGTGGGCGTTTCGGCGATTGACTCAATGGTGCTGACTTGCAAGCCGATGAATGAAGATAAGAGAGGCAAAGCCGAGCAATATCAATGTGCGGGAGAGATGAAATAAGTCAGGCCTCCGGATAGCGAGAAAATGTCATCGTCGCAGGGAGGAGATCAGAGCAGTGGCAGTGCCAGGTTTTAGGCAGAATCTACCAAAACTAGGTAGGTAGGTACGTAGTAGCACGAACGGTCAAACTCGACGATAAGGTGCGCGCGCGAACGAGCGAGCGAGCGAGGTGAGTGAGGCGAATAGTGCTGGACCCACGACAACGCCAGACGCACACCCCGGGGCCTAGGCCTGGAGTCTGAGTCCCTGTTCGGCTGGTCTCCAGCGCAGCACAGCGCACAGCAGCGCGCACCAGCAGCCTTCCATGTTCCTCTGTTTGCTGCACAACGCCCAGACTAGTTTCATGCCGGCCTGATTGCCAGGATCAGGGGCGACTTGCTCCGGGGCTTGTGCAGCCACCACGATCAGCTCCCAGTGCGTTGGCGCCCTCCAAGTCTCCGACGGCCAATCACACGGGGTTTGGTCCAAGATGCCAGCACGCAGCCAATGAACGGTGCAGAACCACCCACGATGACGGAATTTCAGACGATCGTAGACGGCCAAACTCGTGCTCCAGAATTGTGCCCATGGGATGCCCGCACAGTTCCTTGCAGCGGGATGTGTCACCTTTTTCGCTCTCTGGGCCCTGATCTACGACCTAATGTTCCATGGGTTATTTGGGCGAGCGGCCTCATCGGGCCACACAATAGTGACGCTGTCCCGATCCGCTTTGGGAAAACTTGGCATAAGCCATGAGGTAGCCCGTCGTCACCGCCACACGCTGATTGTGGCCGCAGCGCAGGTTAGATGGTGGCGCGAGTCGTCATCGGCTAGCTAACGGATCACTAAGTCCACATTTCCAGGCTGAGTCATTGCAATTTGCATCGTGGATATTAGAACACTCTGTAGTTGCAATACTGTGTATAGTGCCCACGCTCATCATCGCTTAGGACGATATCCACATCAGATCCTCGCTGCCAATTCGAGAAGCTCCCAAATCTCGTCTTCCTTAGCATGATCTATTGGCTTCACATCTGCTCGATTCCGCGCTTCAACGTCGGCGCCCGACTTCAGCAGCAGCTTCACCACCGCAGAATTGCCACGCCATGCGGCCAGGTGAAGCGGCGTTGTCCCCTCAAGGTCCTTCGCGTTAACGTTCGCGCCGCGCTGCAGCAGGTATCGAGCATTCGCCAATGATACCTCCGGATCAAACGCGTCTTTATGCAATACATCGTAGCTGTACAACACGTGGTGCAGCGGCGTCATGCCTCCTTCGTCTGCGTCTTCCACTTCCAGGCCTTTGTCGACGAGGAACCGAACCACCGCCGTCGAGTCAATGCCCATGGAGGCTGCTGCTGTGTGAAGCGGCGTGCGGCCCTGATTGTCGCGGCTAAAAATGTCGGCTCCGATCTCGATTAGCCATTCAACTGTCGCCAGCCATCCCTGCGCTGCGGCCAAGTGAATGGGTAGAACTCCGTCTCGGTCTGCAATGTGCTGGCTCGCGTCCGTGGCAAACAGTCGAGCCAGTAGCGCCTTGCAGGGTCTCAACTTGGGGTTGAGCAATGCCAAGTGAAAGACCGTTCGTCCTCGAAGCGTCAGCAGCGACGTGTCGGCCCCACGATCGAGAAGCAGCTCTACTTGTGCCCTGGTTCCTAACGACGCCGCAACATGTAGTGGGCTCTCGCCGTCAGTGTTCTGTGCGTTCAAGTCAATACCTAGTTCGAGCATGTACCCGGCCATCATGGGATCCTCATTCACAGCTGCCAGGTGTAAGAGGTTATCGGCGTCATGGGATGAGCACTCAACGACCATGCTAGCGCCGCCGAGACAGACCAGCTGCTGCATCGCACTCAATGGCCCTCCCGAGGCTACCATGCGAGCAAAAAGGTCAGTGCTCTCGGCGTCAACGCGATATTCATCTCAACAGCATGTCCAATGCCTCTTTGGAAAAGCCCATGACTGCGCACAGCATAGTCATGACCGCGGAACCCTGCTCGGCCCCAAATACGGAACCAAAGTCAATACTTCCAGTGGTGAGTAACGACATGAGGGTGACGTTCTGGACTGCAGCTTGGCCGTGATTGTCATCAAGCTCGCTTCTTCGCTGAAATTACTGCGCCAGCCAGAGCTGCATCACGCAGATGCTGGTTCCAGGTTGCAGCCGTCAGGTCAGTTTCAGACGAGCGGACACTCCGCCATCGCAGGAGTAATGCGGCATGCGATGCGTTGTGAAGATGGGCGTAGTATGCGGTTCCGGAAGCTTCGAGCCCGAGAGTAATGATTCGTTTTCGAATCTTGCTCCAGCGTCCAATAGCATTCGGAGAAATTCAAGATGCCAGTTTTGCAGGGCGATGGGCAGGGCAAGTTCACCTGGAGCATTTGGGGTCGGCCCCGTAGGCTAACAGTATTTTGATCGCCTCGTGCGATCCTCGTGTGACAGCAAGCGACATGTGGCTCACTATATCAGCCTCGAAACGGGTTTCATGAACAAGCTCCCCCGTCTTGCACAGGTGCTCCACGAGGCTGACCAGATTCTTACGGACGGCCAGCAAGGATAAGTCGTAATCTGGATGAAGAAAGCTGTCCGGATACAGGCTGTTGCGCATATCAAGCCAGGTTTTGAATGCGTCGGGTCGCGCGGCGAATGTCTGCAATACGACATCACACAGCGGGACGCCTAGTGCCTCGGCCCGCTTGCAATGCCGACTCCAATTCTTCACCGCGTAAAGAAAGAGCGGCGTTTCTTTGAAAACACCAGTCTTACGCGTGGTGTTTGGAGACGACCTCAACAACCGGTACGTCTCACTCATGCGAAGATACCGGAGGCATGCTCTTGTGAGCTTCGCGTGTCCGTCCTTTTCAAACTGTTCTGGACTCGGCAAGCCGGTCGTCTTATCTTGGCTCCGGAGAGAAAGAAAGTCCTTCACAGACTGATGCACAAACTGCACGACTTGGCGGCTTTCGTTCCGCGCCGTTCCTCCAACCTCCTCGGCGGTATCGAGTCTGTCGGCAGGCACAACTTCTAAGAGCCCCCCACAACGGCTTCGTATCCTTCTCTGCATGACTTGATAATTTGACACAAGCTTCGTTGACCGGTTCATATCGGCGAGAGAGCTTATAGCATCGTCAGAGCAAAGATTCAGGACCAGCCTAAACTCCTCTATGGTCAGCGGCTTCTTAGCCGTCAGCGCCATGCTCAACATAGCGTGGGTCTCTTCTCGGTGCTTCTGTGCAGGATGGCCGAGAAGCATTTCGAATATACCGCTGAGCTCGCCGGGAAGCTCATCAATGGTCTCGCGAATTTCATCGGATGTTCCACCGTCGCGGACGGCTTTAGTTACACGGTCCAACGCCAGGCGCACCCACAGAAAAATACCATTAGCTTTCTTGATGATGGCTTTCTTCAGCTCCTGGAACTCGTCTGCTGGCGCATCCATAGGTATGGAGGAAGACCAAACGTCGTGGACAAGGTTTGCTATATCCGACTGATTGTGATGTTCCATTCGCAAGCACTCGGCCGGATTCAGGTTCGATGTGTCGGGTAAATATCTGCAAGAAAAAACGATGCGCACGTTCTTTCCTAGAGTGCCAGATAACAGCACCTTTAAGAAGCTCAGGATCTCCACAATGTCAATCTCAGATTGACATTCGTCAAGAGCATCAAAGATCATAAGGAATCGCAGAGTTGTGGATCCTCGTGCTATTACCTGAGTGAGAGCTCGTTTCAACAACCATTCCGGCCAGTGGTTTGGTGTCATTTGCTGAGGGTCTTGCATCGTATACCAGTCTTGCAGCATGTGCTCAAATAAGCTCGGCTGCTGGCGTAGAATCTGCTCCAACACGGACTGCAAAAATCCTTGAAACGAATGCTCAATGATCTGGCCGCGTTTGTTGAAAAAGTGATGGACGAGAACGTCCATCTCGCTGAATTGCTTTGCTTTGCTCACCATATCCCCCATGAGAACAGTTTTCCCGCTTCCTGGCTTACCTTCAATGGAGAAGAGGCCTGCGCCGCGGGTAAGCCATTTAAGAAACTTGCCCTCGCGCTCCCAGAACCACTGTAGGGTGGCTCGATGAGGTTCGATCGGCCTCTTGCCACGGCGCCACGCAAGTGGTACTGCGAGGCTTGCAACACAATCTGCACTAATTAGCCGCAGGCTCAAGTCAAACTTCAGCGAACGTACCTCTAGACATCTTGGTGAGGGTATCTGATACATGTCAGTCACATCAATATGCTGGAAATTGAAGTGGGACACTTCCAACTAACCAGTACCCTTCGCCGGGTCAGTCTCAAGTAGGAATACTCGAATTTTTCTCTTCAATGTTTCAAGCAGCGTCCGGTACGCATCATCTTCAGGTCCAGTGAATCTCACCAGGCGCCGATGGTCTCTGGCAATCGGTATATTTTCAGCCTTCTCACTGTCGAAGACGGCTGAGTCCTTATCGACCACCTAATTAAGTATTAGCACCATCCCGCATCCTAGCAGTCATCCTGGTTCATTACTTACGAGCTCACCTAAGCCCGGCAGGTTTACCTGTTCGTAAAAGTTCACTATGGCGATAGACCCCTTGATCTTGACGAAGTCTGAGTTGCAGATGAATGACTCGCTGGTTCGAGGTTGCAGAGCAGTCTTAATCTGCGCGGGCATTTGCTTATGCAACATCATCTTACCCAATTTGAGACCAGTCTGGGCAAAGAGTTTTTCCAAGACGTGGCTGCCACGATGTGGTGTACCGAGGAAGAAGACTGCCTTTGTCGCTTGGAGTATGTCCATGTCTGATGGCCGGCGTGAGCTATGAACCAAGGCTTGCTTGATCACCAAGCCGCCGAGACTATGCCCTATCAGCACGAGGGGCCGAGAGTCCTATGATTGTGAGGGTTGGTCAACAAGGTGGCAGAGGGAGTTGACGCACATTCGTCTCTGACCGCATATTTTTCAGGTGCAGTAGCAGGCTCTCAGCATGTTGATAGACGCCAAGCGAATTGATAGACCCTGAAGATAAGTCGGCAAGATATCCAAACACCGTGATCCGAGCAGATTCGACATGCTTTCCAAGGTCAATTGGCCAGTAAAACCCGGTTTCATCGTTTTGAAATGTCTTGAAGGGTGACCCATTCAAACCATGAACGATAACGATGCTATCCCGCGTTAGCTGGGCCCTCGACCTGTAGTGCGATTGTAACCAGCGATGTGAACCTTAGACGTGCACAGGGTAGCCAGGTAAACAGTGGCACTTACTCAAGCGCTGGGTGTGGGGGGTCGATGAGCACTGTGAGCCCCTCCCGATGAATTTCAGCCTTCTCAGACACAGACTTGCTTAATAAAGATGATGATCTAGAAGCCATGGTCATGCTGTCGAACCCTAAGGTTGTAAGCAGCTTCAATGAAGGCCGAGACGCGAGCACAATCGAAAGTGGCGATGCTTATCACCACACAGATGGCATCACCCCGGAGTGAGGCTGAGTGTGTTCTGAGCTATCGAATCCATCAACTTACTTAGCTAGTTAAAATGCCTGCAGGAAATGCATGCGCGCTTACGCCACGTGATGAGGCTGACTTGAAGGCACCCAAGTCAACAGACAGGTCTTTGGTACCCAACTGAAAAGGCCAGCCTTACTTGCTCCTCATTCATGCCGCAACCTCCCCGTGACGAGGTTGGAAGACAATCGTGCCGAAGCCGCACTGCCTGGACAGAGGATCAAACGCTCCAGTACGCAAGATGGGTACGGTAGTTCGAACGTGTTTGCCAAACCTGAGAATCAGAACGCTAACACGCTTGTCGGTGTAGCCACCATAGACAACGGGTCGCAGGCCAAGGACAAGGCTCGAGACAAGAAATCGCGACGGACATGGTTCCAGCGCTCGAAGCCTGCTAGCGGCGAGTTCGAATCTAGAGGCCAGGTCGCTACAGTTCAGACATTCTACGAGAGCTTTGATACCGATAATGGGACGACCAGTTGGGTTGATTGGGCACCACCATCTTTAATGGCACCGAAGAAAAGAAAGTTCGAAGGTGCAGCGATTCAGATCATGCAGGCTTTACGTGACGAAGAAGAAATAGTAGCCGGGGGAGACAGATACTATGCCCGAACGATTCGTCTCCAGAGCCCGTACGTTCGCGAAGCGCTTGCTGAAGATTTCAAGAAGCAAGGGCTGCATTACGGTGCATCTGATCGAGCGGAGTCTCAGTACCCTCACATGGCCTTGTTCTTTTGTCGCGAACGAATTGCTGAGATTTCCAAAAGCGCTGATGACGAGTTGACCAGACGTCACTGTGAGCTTCTTTGCGAGGTCGTCGAGAAACAGCTCAGCTCAGTCTTGGATGCCTACGACGAGTATGAGAGGTATCAAACGGTATCATTCGCACACGTCTGGATTTTGTTCCCGGTAGATTCCATTTTTGGCAGGCAGCGTTACGGCAATGTTCGTGCATATCAGGTTGACCAAGTTGTACTAAACCCTGAATATGTTACGATCCATCACCACTCGATAGAGTTCGACGGCTGTCGATACGGCATACGTCTTTCGAGTCGGCAAATCCTCCACTTCGAGGGCAAGATGCCTGCGTCAAAGCTGACCCCAGACACATTCATCGACTTGTACAAACACCCAGAGGTTCGTGAGTGCCTACTTGAACGTGGCAAGGAACTACTTGAGTATCAATTACCAAGATATGCTCAATTCACTCCACGCCTGGCTCCATCTCATTCGGGATCTCCGAAGTCTTTCGCACAAGTGAGTACCCGGCAACAGCAAGTTTCTCTCCAGAATGTTATTAACGAAACTTCTTTAGGCACACCGGGTCATGATCGACAGCTTTTTACTCTACAAAGAACGTGGATGGTCTATAAAGAACCTGCCCGAGTACGCTGAGCTAGCAGGTGTCGGAAAAGCCCCTTTGCAAGGCGACGACGACAGGACAAGTGGGGACATCCCTTTCTAACGGCCACGTTGGTATCAATAATACTTGGGAACTGACTTGGAAGAATATAGATGAGTGGAACTCCAGAACAAGTTCCAATAAGCTCAAGCGACCAACAGCAGAGGAGATTCAACGAAACAAGGACATCATGCTCGGCAATGAAAACTATCTTCTGATCCACACCCCCGAACTCGTGATTTACTCCTTGCAAGAGGGGAGATGGGGTAGGTTCCGTCATGCCTTCGAGTAACGCTCCGTCAAAAAGTCAATCGCTCATATAGTGCTCTAGGGACGGGTGTCGTGGAGAACATTGATCCCATTGGTCTCGATGCAGAAGTCTTCGACAAGGTAGTGTATGATGAGAAGAAGAAAGATATACTAAGAGCCTTGACCAAGAGTCATGTAGAAGAGGGTGCCAACTACAGCGATCTCATTGCTGGCAAAGGTGAGAAATCGATCTATCCAAAACCCGATCACAGTCGCTAAGCTGGTCAAAAGGTCAATCATTTCTTGTGCTTCTGAGCGGAGAACCAGGCACCGGCAAAACCTTGATGGCCGAAGCGCGTACGAACATGTCCAATATCTATTAACTTTTAAAGTTTCTTGCTTGTGCTGACTATGAAGTTGCCGATCACCTTGGACGGCCATTACTGCGGGTAGCGTCTGTCGGCCCTCCGCCAAGAGTCTATGATAGTAGTTCGGATTCGGAGTCTTTGAGGACTTTAAAGCGCAAACCAAAAGGGCTGAGCAGCGAACTCGAATCAAAGATAGACAAGGCATCAGAATGGGGCGGACTGGTACTTTTCGACGGTAAGCACGGGTACTGACCTCGCTACACAGTCTTGTAACTAACGTTCGTGGCACAGAGGCAAACTTCGTTATAGAGGGGAGAAACGTCGCGACGAGCCAGAGCACAATATCAAGTGAGCTTCTCCCGGGCCGAAGCTCTGCAGTGCTAAGCTAAGGTTCCATAGCGTTCTTGCGGCATATTGAATATTTCAAAGGTAAGCAATGCCTTCCGAAGCTCAATCGGCGCATGGAGAGCTGCGAGGACCATGAAGTTAAATAATGAATGTTGCGTACTGTTAGGTATCGTCTTCCTCACAACAAACGTTAACTCGTCCATCAATACTGCACTTCAGTCTCGGGTGCAAATTCACCTCACTTTTCCAGGGCTCACACGTGCAATGCGAGCCAAGGTATGGGGGAATTTTGTGGACAGAGCTCCCGAGAATATTCGAAAACTTGATGGCCCAGAAATCGCACGACTATCAGATTGGAGCATGAGTGGCCGAGACATCAAGAACACGTACAACATGGCGATCGTGCTGTGTCAGCAACGGGAAGTACCTGTCACGGCGGACGCGGTGGAGGACTTGATCACCCTCGTCAGTCCTTTCGCAAGTCGAGAGGGTAGCTCTGAGCCTACGAAGTCCATCCGAAACGGAACCAGGCCCAAGACCTCGACAAAGGAATTGGAGGAAAGCTTGCTAGATTTGTGAATCTACGGCTGAAGGGGTCGTTCACTTTTGTTTGTTGAATAGCATGAATGAGTAGCGAGTCACTTGTATCCACGAATACGAACTTTTCCACATTAACACTGACACTTCCAATTCATCTAGTTGAACTTCGAAGCGACAAGAAGCAGCTGACAGAAGTTGTGGACACATATAATCTTGAAATGTGTCCATCATCTTGTACTACTGAAAACTTTTATCCATTATAAGTAGACAGCCTCAACATCCAGAAGTCGACTTGCAATGTGTTACTCACGGACCGTTCATTGTGCTCAGTGCGATACCTCGAAAACACACATTGTCCGGTGCTTGGCACAGCAGAAAGTCAGCGACAAGAAGGAGGGCAACTATACAAGATGCTCGACAATCATCCCGCTTCCTAAAGTGGCTGCACTGCAGGATGCACTGCAGGAGCAGAATTGTCCCACTTGTGCCATACGCCAGGAAGAAGAGAGCCTCGCGAAAGCAGCAAGCAAGTTAGCCAAGCAAGAGAGACGGCAGAAGCGGAACGAAGCAGTGCGGGCGCATCGAACGGCTCAAGAAGAGCGAGTGGCTGCGGCTCCTGATGACGGGGAAGCGTTGAAGTCGAAGAAGTGTGCGGTCATGTGAATGGCCAAGATCTGGAAAGTGAAACATAGCATACCGACAAGAGATTGAACCTCAAAGGCCAGAACCGAAGAGCGAGACGCGAATCCAAATTGATATGCGTAAGCTTGAAGTCGTAGGGTCTATAACCAAGATGGATCGGTTTGATTGTTATGGAAGCGCCTGACTCAATGTAAGGTAGCTGTCTTGACGTCTCCCACCGAGTCTTCAAAATCGTGCAATGTGCACTCATTGACTGCACAGCATTCCCGAAGATGTATGTGCAGGTTGCTGAGCGATGTTTTTAGACCTTTTTTCATTGAGAGGGACTTGGAAAAGGCTTGATTGACTTATGCTGTGACTTCTGATACCGAAAAAGCGTGACAGAACTGAAAAGAAAGGAAACCAAGAAATAGGGCTTATCCTCCACAAGAAAAACACATCAGCAAGGCCTGCAAAATACTTGTCCGTCGTCCATGATCTCTCGCTGTGAAGAATTTATCCCGGCCCTGTCACAACGACCCCGGACTTCCCCATAACTTCGGGCGCGGAGTAGTATGTCCCTCTCAGCACTTCTGCCACTTGACGTTGACCTGCTGCGTAAAGGCGACGGTAGCATCATCATCGGTGATGGAGCCGTAAGCAGACGGGACCCTGCTCACGAGGTTGATTCTGTTGTTGACGTTCAAGATGCCGCTGGCGCCGCACTGGGCCCAGATGAGCGCAGCCGTGGGGATGACGTCCTGCTTCGTGTAGACCTGGCCGTCCTTCCAGATGCCGCCACCATCGATAGAGGTCGACGTCGTCGTCGTTGCACCGGCGTCCTGCGAGAAGAAGTAAGTCGAGAAGAAGGTGCCACTGACGCCCTGGTCGAGCTGCGCGAAGCCGTGGTATGTCGACTCGACGACGGCAAACTGGAAGCCGCTCGGGTAACGCAGGTTTAGATGCAGGTTGCAGTTCTTAGTGCGCTCGGCAAAGGGGATACCTGGGCCGATGTACGTCTGGAAGCGGTCGAAGCCAAACGTGATGACGGTGCGGTCGGGGGAGATGGTGGTCGAGACGCTGCCCTGGGGACAACCACTGCCGGAGAACTGGGCCGAGACGATGTGAATCTCATTAGGGTTGGGCGTGCTTGGGGCGACGACCGTGGGAAACCTGGGCCTGGCTAGGGCCAGAACTGGAGCCAAGAGGGCGATGAGTTGGATCTTCATGATGAGAGGCAAAGGGGTCAATAACGAATCCAATTCTGCTATAGAGTGGGTGAGTCTGAGGAAATGATGTCAATATCCTTGAGGATGGCTGACAAGGAGAGGCACATTTTCGAAGCCTTGATCAGCATTGCTTTTATAGTCACGGATTTATCTTGGGCGCCTCTACAGTCTGCAAATCGCGTGACGGTCGAATCAGGCCATTCGTACTTTTGCGATGGATGTTGGGCACAAGACTTGGCCAGACTCACGATGGTGGCAGCGACGTGACGCCTCCGCAACCGAGCTGCTCCCCAACCACTGGCAGGCATGGCCCATAGTGGCAATAAAGTGCAATTAGCACAGCGTCACAAAGCGAGCCATCACTGAATGGATAGAGCCATGCCTGCTGCAGCGGTGGCTCTCAGCCTCTCTTTAGAAGGCATTGTGGTCTTGCCGATGTCGCCTTGGTGCGGCGCCTATTTGCGGATGAAGAGCAGGATAAATGGGCGCATATTGGGGCGGGACAATGATCTTTTATAGAGCTTTCGCCTGGATGAAGGTGACGTGACCCTGGATGTGCAATGCAGGGTAGTTCCGATGCTACCATACCCTCCTCACAAATAGACCTGGATCTGAGCTAATCGCCGCCTGGGCGTCGATCCGGAAGCTAGCGGTTGGGTCAGTTGGACTTGAAGTTCCAGTCCAAGCGGGAGTTTATCTGTAGAGCAATACTGAGTAGCAATGCAATCGCCGAAGATTGATGAGTCTCGCGAAGAATCGCACCCGGGCAAATACGTCGATGATGTAACAGTGATTCGACAGCCATTGCATTCGCGCTATGTGCGCTCCCAAGAGATTCGCATTTTCAGCTCAGGGGGTCAACCGCTGGCAAGGCTGATTTGGTACACTAACGTGCACGATGCTATGTTAAAGTACTACTCTACGGTTGTAAGACTCACGGTGTATCGAATGTTTGGGTCGGTGGCACTTGAAGTGTTGGACTGCTTGGGACCTTCACCTACATGACCATAGCTGCTGGCTAAAGTGCCAAGAGCCATGGAATTCAGGGCTTTGCAATTAGCACCCCGACTCACTCAGTGTGGGCACAGTGTGATACCGTTCTCAAGGCGAAGTATTGTGAACTTGGGTAGCTTGTAAGTAAATATTCAAACTATGGATAGCTAAAGATCCTCCGTGACTGAACACCGCCCAGATCTATTGTCTCGGAACACGAAATGCAAAAAGGGCTACAAAAGACTTTTTCTCACACCGCAAAAGATATTTACGCACTCTCGGCCTGCTTAAGAAGACCCTCGAGGTTGATGCTCTTGGGGCGCTCAATGGGAAGACCTAGGGCGCGGTCCCAGATGAGCTGAGCCAGAGGGCCAAGGCCTCGGGAGACACCGAAGGTGGCAGTGTAGTAGAGGGTCTCGTGGAAGCCGTAGTGGTGGAAGAGGACGCCAGAGCTCGAGTCGACATTGGGGTAAGGGTTCTTGGTCTTTCCGTGCTTCTTCAGAACCTCAGGGGCGAGCTCGCTGTTCAGCTTGACGAGCTGGAACACAGGGTCTTCGGCAATCTCAGGACGGGCAGACGCGTAGTCCATCAGGGCCTCGAAGCGAGGATCGGGCTTGCGGAGGACGGCGTGGCCATAGCCTGGAACGACACGACCCGAGTTGAGGGTCGGACCACAGGTATTCGGTAACATCCT